CCTTTCCTGTATTTTTTACAAAGAATAATATCATAACTGTTAGTATTGGAATGATTTTTCATAGTTAATGATTAAATTTATTGTTTGTTTAGTTAATAATTCAAATGTTTGGTGTATTTGCTACTTCCATTTTGAATATTTATTTTCTTGGATTATTTTTATCAGAGTTGAAAGCCAAGTAAAAATTAAATTGAGAGTTTTAAAAAAATTCAAACTTTCTTAAGTATGTTTAGAGTATATTTGTTGCTTTTTTTTCTTTATTTAATCTTTCAATCTTTATGCTTTTCTGTTCAATATTTACTACTAAACCAGCAAATAAACAAGATAGATGACTACCAATTTCTATTGCTGAATGTTTAATATCAGCAAATATAGCTATTAAAACAATATCATATGCACACTAAAAAATATTTTAAGAGAAATAAAATTGATAATTTTGTTTAGATCAAATTTATTAGTATCTTTGTTTTCGATATCACCACTTTGGTTTACATTTATTGGTGCTATGACTACTATTTGTAGGACATATTTTGATACTAGTAACAGCTGTATTATTTTTGGTTTATCTGTTATATATCAATAAAAAAAGTAATAGTATTTAATTGAAAAAAGAAATAGAAAATACACTTGCCTTTAATTTATAATGTTTTCTCATTATGCTGATAGACTAAGTTTTCATAATGGTAAAAGACATAGAAAAGTAAAGCACTTATTATTATTTTTCTTCATTCAGTATATATTGAATTGAGTTTTAAATAATATTGTTGTAATACTCATAAGTGATATTTACTCTTGTGATATATCATTCAGCAAAATATTTTTCTTATTAGATATAAATGCAGATAAAAATTTGCTTTTAGTTATTAAATATATTAACATAAATCTGAATTTGATTTTCCATCGAATCATATAACTTTAACAAGAATTCTAGATAATTCTTTAATTCTATCTTGACATGATTCATACTAATCGTTGGTTGGAAAGATTGTATTATGAGTGGTTATTGTACCAAACGAGCGAATATTTTTGCAAAGTCTGTTAAAACTAATAGATTTTAATCGAATCTAGTCAATTCTGAGGATGTTGACTCGTACGATCCATCTACACCAGCCACATAATCCAAATCGACTTCGATCATGGCATGAACTTTTATTGTTATAGATGGCGTCGGAAAATTCTTTTTAGGATAATGAAATCTGAATTTTCCTAGAAAATAACTCGGATTCGAGTACATATTTCAGTCATAAAAAATAAGATAAAATAGAATAATTATCTAAGAACTTTTTTTGTCTTCTATTTTGGCTATCTGCAGAAGAATCTCGATCGTATATAGGTTTTTTCATTAAATATTTATATCTATTTTTAATTTTTCACAAAACCAGATTTTATATATTCTTCAATTATATATACTCTAGATAATAATATACAATTATTAAAACAGATTGAAGATGAACACACAGTGTATATTCTGTTTTATGCAATGCGGGAGTAGCTGTTGTTCACAATGTAGTCGAACGAGTCGTGGTCAAAAATTTTCTCAATTGCTTCAGCATCTCGACAAATGTTCTCGAAGTATAATGCCCTATGACGAGATTGCTATCCTCGTACAAAGTATTCGACAAGTGAGTTATTTAAAATACTAATTTATTTACAAACAAAGTTTTGAAGGTTGAATCAATTATGGTACCATATGAATTCCGACCAAATCAAGTTTTCGATCCGAAAAAACATATTTTAGATGTAGTAGCCAAGCAATATCTTGAACAGGCTACTAGTGATGTACATCATCTTGTTCCAGCCGATGTCGTTGCCGATGGAAATTGTTTATATCATTCCATTGTTCTTCTAATGAATAATCCAGCAGTGACATGGAGTGAATTACGAGGTATATAAATCTTTTTCAATTGTTTTATTATACAACTTGCTTCTCGATATTTATTTTAGTTCGAACAGTTATAGAACTTATGACGAATGAGACTTATTATTCAAATACGTACTCACATTGCGTCGGACCTTTTGATATTGCAATTCAAGCTATGTGCAGAAAGTCCACATTTTCGGAATTGTATGAAATTACTGCATTATGCAATATACCTAAATGTAACATACGAAGTATTTATCCAAAAATTGATCTTCGAGATCATACAGCCATCGTGAATAACACGTTTATGCCTCTTCTACCTACTGTTGCTAATTGCGAAATTACAATATTGTGGGCACATACATTGAACGAAAACGAAGTAAGAATTAAAAATAATTCAACATGGAGCCCCAATCATTTTGTTCCACTTATGTCACGATTGATTCAACATGAGCGTGATAATAATAATCAATTAGCGTCAGTTCTTGCGGTAAGTTTTTTATTTATCAACTAGAATTAATAAATCTTAAGATTTATTTAGACTCCTGAAAAGAAAACATTTAAGAACAATGCTGCTATCCAGATACGAATTCCTGAGTTTCAATCATCTCCTAGCAGACGTTTACGAAGTGAAATTAACATAGACACTGATTCTTCTCAATCGATCATATCTGATACAATGTTGCACGATCACAATGACAAAGAAGAACAACGTCAAGTTCGTCTTAAAAAGAAAAAAGAACGAGTTCGATCAAGTCGACTGAACGCAACCGAAGAAGCGCGCCAAAATCGACTGAGGGGAGAGAGGCACCGCAGTCAAACTAGTCGAAAAAATCAAACAGAAGAACACCGTCTAAATCGACTCGAACAGCAAAGAAAACGAAGTCAAGCAAACAGAGAAAAAAAGAAAAATGAAAAACGCATGTCCGATAATATTAGTATTCAACAACAAACTACTCAGATGCAATCTGCTGGAGCGGAAGAAGTCACATTACAAGATGGTATTAATATATCTCATTCTATATCAAATGCAAATATCTTACCGAAAATTAGAAATGCGACTTCTTCTTGGCCTGAACCAATTTCTCGTGATTTGAAAGAAGGATGTCTCAAAAAATTTCTCTATCGAATGTCCATGTCAGCACTAGCCGAAACTACGTGTGCAGTTTGCAACATTCGAAGTCCCATGCAAAAGTCGAAATCAGTACCTGTCTCAAAAATTACTAGCACTGAATTACTCAAAGTTTCAGACGAAACTAAAGCTCTGATCATGGGTT